GTCTGAATTGTCTTTCGTTATTCTTAAACTGTACCTTCTTCATGTATCCTGAATGACAGGACTACTAATACTAACAATAAATGATCTACATCTTGGATCTCACAGGATATTGAATTGTTGTGCTGAAAAATGACTAGATATGTGACAGGAAACCAGACATACGTCAATAAAATTAAAATCAACTACACTTCTAGGTTTAGTCTAAATACTCATCTATGTAATTATCACAGTAGTGTCATTTTTTATCTTAGAGGTGAATGTACGGTGGATAACTTAACTCTTTAGCTCTTAATTCTTTAGGTGTTGGTTTGTAAATGCCAACAGAAAATATAAAGAGAGAATTTAAGCAAAAGGATCCAGTCAAAAAATAAACTCAAAATGGCACAAAGGGCTCATTTGGGGGCCAATGAGGAAAGTGTTCAAATGCCTAAAGAAATCTCTGCATAGAAGAAAGCTGCCTCTACTTTCAAGAAGAGGGAAAGATGAGTGAGAAAGTATAAAATATAAGAAAATTTCAGGTTCTTCCTCTCCCCATGACTATATCAGTCACAGAAGTCTGAGGAATAGAGCTAGTGATACAAAAAGGTGGTGGTCTTTTTCATTAACCTGCCCAGATAATTTTATAGAACTGTGGAACTACAGGTCACATGTAGCCTCCAAATTCATTTTTGAGTAGCTCATAAAACTGTCTATTCCCATCATTTTAGTCTCCTCGCAACACACATTAAATATACACAGTGCAAGCATTTACTCAGGCTTCAGATGTATGACTTTGATTTTTATAGATAATCTGAAATCACCTCAGTCAAAAGTTAAATCAGTTTGTATTTTTATTTATGATAAAATGTTCATATTTACAGTAGACTTACAAGTATACTTAGCTTACTTTGTTTCATTTTTCAGAAAGTCACTTCCTTCTCTGTCTTTTTCTTTACATCTTCCTTTCCCTCCAAAACCTTTACATCTCCCCCAGTATATACCTTTGCAGTATCTCTTCTGGCATAATTACCTTTGTCTTTTATTTCTTTAAATACATCTCATCTTCCCCGTTTTGTATGGTTCTTTTTGTATGTTCTGCCAGCATAATCCTCTTGACTATTAATATGATTTTTTTATATTCTGAAGAAAAAAAATGCCTTCTTCTTCCTCCACATGTATCCACAAATGATGCCACGTTTTCTCTATCATTAAGACACCTGCCCAGAGCTTACCTGCAAACACCAATGCAGGTCTATCCTCTTTCTCCAGTTCCCCACAATGACTGCAAGGAGAAACATAGCAGAGGAAGCACTTCCCTGTTTACAGGACAAATGCTATAGGTCAGGCATCACTCCTTCCTTTGCTGCCTCTCACTTGTGAGGTAATGTAACGTTATTAGACATGAAATACGGCTTATTTCCCTCATCTAAGTATCAGTATTAGAGTCGCCTGCACACGCCACTGGAGGAAAAGAAACAATACCATGTAACTAATCAAGTATTTGCTGGCAACCTCATAAATAATTGAGTCAAAAGACTGGCAGAATGTTAGTCCAATATTACATAAATACAGGGAAGCAAAGACCTGCTTGTTTACATTTCCTAAGAAGAACGTGATCTAAATTCACTGGATACATTATTCATTGCAATTACAAACTTAACTCTCTTAAATTTATAATATTATGCCAGCAGATATGCAAATACTAGAAAAAGGAATAAAAGAGACCATAAATGCAATTAAATGTCTGATACGAAAAACAATCTGCAATTTTACCTTTCTCTTTTTGTATTTTTTTTAGGCTGGTCCCAGTTTCTTGATCAATGAGTTCTCCTTCTCTGCTGTTGCTGAGCATAGCTAAAAAAAAAAAAAAAAAAACAGAGAGCACAGCTGCATAAGACTGTCAGTAAAAAAGGATAACGTCAAATAATATTATTAAACAACAACATTTAAGGAAAATATTAAATTCTACTTTCTTTTTGCCAATATTTTGTTATTTTGACACTTATTTTTACGATATAAGTTCTAAAGCAAACGGCTGCTTTCACTGTCCACAGGGATTCCAACTCAGCACAGAGCTAAGATATACAGCAAAAGTAAATTTGCTCAAGTTGGTTAAACAAAGAATCAAAATTACTACTGGGATCAATGCAATGTCTTACAAAATGTTCACATTAACTAATTAGAAAAGTACTTCACAGAAATGATTTTGGGGAAAATGCCTTTAATAGAGCAAAGGATTTAAGAATTAGTTAATTATATAAGGCAGCAAGTTTAATAAAGAAATACAGGCAATTAGTGAACCAAATGGATAGATGGCAGCTAAAAAAAAATCCTACGTACTGCTGAGAGAAATTCTTTACTTAACACCTGCAAAATCAGTGAGATGTGTTAAGTTTATGATTTCAGAAAGCTTACTTTCTTTGTTCTTATTTGATTAAAACATTTCTTTCTCTGTGTTCAACCAATTATGGAATTTAAAGTCATTGCAGTTAGGAGACTTGTTAAAAACTTCATGCTCATATTTTAGGGAAAGCTTTTCTTGGAAATTGCAGAAGTAGAACTATAGATATGTACTTTTAAGTATATATACATACTTTTATAAGAGTAAGCATTAGACCTGGACATAGACGGATGTTTGGTTCAACATAAATTAAACTTATCTTTCTTTAAAAAAATCTCAGCAAGATTTCTGGAGCTTAGAGGCTTGTCGTGCTGGCTACTGCTATTTGTAATACAAGTTATAGCAGCTTTCAAAAGCTACAGTGAAGATAAAGGTCACTCCTTTGCTGTCGATATAGGAAGTTACATTTCTTATCCTGTGTATTTCTAGCCCTATTTTAAATATAAGAAACCTGAAGGAAATCTACTTTCTAGTCACTGTCCTGTATATATGTCTAGGCAAACTAGCTCAGTTTATATCTACAAGTTTGTGCAGTGCCAGCTGTGCTACGTAGTGCAATGGTGCTTGCAGCACAGACAATAGTCAAAATTGCAAAATCCAAGCAAGCAGCTAAGTAGTTATTTGATAGGAGTGGGTCTACACTGACTTCCACGGATCCCTGGCTGCACTGCTTTTGTAGTTTAAATCTAGTTCAACAGTGCTTATATAGGCTACGGTTACTGTGAAGACCACAGTGTTGACATACAGTGACATGAAGAAATGTTAATTGTCTTGTCCCATACCCCTCTTGGAAGCACCAAGAATAGGATCTAAACTTTCTCTAGTCCAAATCTGCATTTTAAAAATAAGATTAATAAAGCACAGACTGCTAAAGCTGTGGTGGAGAGACCAAACAATCAAAAAGCCCTCAGCCTCATGACAACGATGGCCTACACGGGCAAGAGGCAGTTTTTGGAAGGGAATAGCTATCATATCATCTGTGAGTTTTCTGAGGTACATACAAAGAAAAATGTATCTTGGTATTCTTCTGTTCTAGTTGCCTTCAGAAGCGTTTTCTTACTCTAGCACGGAGGGTCCTGCTACAAAAGTGGTGACAGCTTCTGTGCATGAGTAGGTGCAGACACAGAATGAATCGCAGAGGCTGGGCTCTGCACAGTGACAAACTTTCTATTTTTTAAAAACTGAGTGCTTCCTCGAGTTTCAAAACTATGTCTCCTAACTTCCTCACAGAGAAATATTTGCTTCAAGAAACTCCTAAATTTATTCAGGTCAATAATTTCTAAGGGGGACGAGGCTGCCACATAGTGATAAAGGACCAACCAATTCTGTCTGGTGTGTTGTCCAGCTGGGAAGGAGAGCTAGACACACTACTGCTCTGGTGTGAAGATGCATGGCTCCCAGGTCTCTGACTGTCTTCTAGAGAGGGAGCTGGAGAAGGGCTGTCTTGAATCCGTTCCTTAAAACAGAAAAAAAACAAGGTCTGTGTAGTTTGATTAACGAACTTCACAATGAAAAAACAAAGGTGGCTAAAAGAGCAATAACAAATATTCTTTGCAAGGTAAATAATGAATAGAATCCACATTAAAAGAGCTGGTATAATCTTCCACATGCAATGTATCTGGGCACAGTTTTTCATCCACAGTGTCACAACCTACACTTACCATTTTTTTTTTCTCTTGTACCTTCTTATTTTTTAACTTTTTCACACAGAGGATATAAAGAATGCTCCAGTACACACTAGTTTTAATCTACTGACATTAACACTGAGATGAGCTGCATTTTCAATAAGCAATCCAGATTTTGACTAAATCGGCACTAAATGCAAAGTCAGATTTGGAAACTCACAGGAAATCATGTCTGTACCTGAATAAGTTATGTCAATGTCTCATCAAGACAGTGTGCAGTCAAGTTTTAAAAGCCATGCATGGATATTGTCTGTATGCGTTATGCATGTATGCATAGCTCAGTTATTTGTTCTCCAGTTGTCTTACATCTACTTCCAACCTGATGTACACGTGAGAGAAGTAACAACTTGTCTAGCTAAGGTTCAACGTAGACATAGGAATCAATCATTCAATGAGAAAGCAACAAAACTTGTATCATCCTGCAGCTCATGGACTTCTACAGTATTAAGCACCATAATCTAGATTTTGTTTTATCAGTTTTTAAAGCTGTTAGACTTTTGATTTATAAAGAAAGACCACAGATTCAAAAAATAAGTATTGCTGCAAGAACTGCCTCATGTGAAATTAGCTTACAGCAAGATCTATGTGCTACAGCAACAGTTTAAGGTGTTTTAATATGCCTCAGAAGAGTTAGATCACTCTGAAACCTGGTAGGCAGCAAGAACAACTGGGGTGGACCTTCCTGAGGCAAATGTGGCCCCACGTGGTCAGGAGTTGCTCAAGTAATAGCATCTGAAAATCATGAGCTTTTAATTCTCAAAATGTCCTTTAAATCTGTATGCAAATGGGGACTCTCTCAAAAGTACAGAGTTAAAACAAGAATGATTGAATTCTATGTTTTCTAATCCTAGGAGTTCTGAAAAGGCCCATGGCAGTGGTAAGGCAACTGCACTTCTGCATGAAAAGCACTTCTGGTAACAAAAATAAGAATGTGCTTGCAAATCCTTATGTGCACATTTGCACACAAAACTTTGATATTAACTCTAATGACTAGCTGGAACTGACAGTATTCCCGAAACTGCATCTTTGGAGTTGCCCTCGTCCCTGCCAACCAGCTGTTCTCTATGGAACCTGAGAACTGAAATATTAGCTTCTTTTTTTAAGAAGGGAGATCCTCTTGCCCCCACCTCATTGAAGATCACAATTACAGCGTAACCTGTCTCAAAGGAACTTTGCAATTTTTCTGCTTTTCTAACCACTTCTCAAGGATTGTGCATTGAGGGTGTGCAGTCTGGTTACTTGGTGGCAATTCACCAAGCACTTGTAAAAATACGCTGAATAGCACCAGAACTTTTTACACAGTTTTTGTTAGAAAATATGCTAAATCAATAATACAGCTTTAGCAATAGAATAGTAGCTTCTAATAGTTTTTCCATTATATATAGCTATAATAATCGCTTCTGTTCATAACCTACTGAGGCAATTCATTAATAGCAGTGGCAGTAAGATCGACATTTTCAAGAATATTCTGTTACCCATTAAAACCATCTCTCTGAAGCCCACTAATCTTCATATTTACAGATACACTTGAGAAAGATGCAAAGGGAACGTGAGAATAGATCCTCCTAATAGTAACGGGTAGCATTTGCCTGTTCCAATCACACCAGCTGAAAATGTAGCATTGAATGTGTTTTTAATAGGATAGTTATTGTACATTAAATAACAACTGAGCCTCAAAATCATGTAACAGATGTGTATCTATTACATAGCTGTTAATCCTCAATGGATCTGTTCTCACTAATTATCTGTTATTTAATGAACATACAATAACTAATAAATCTTAAAGAGACTTTTAATTGCAGTATTTTTGAATGCTAATTAAAAATGTTTATTAAGTTTTAAAAGATATGAATCTGTTATGTTGAGTCACATAATCTTAAGGTTTTGAAAACTGAATTGTTTTAACATACACTTTCTCATTATTCCAAATTCTGCAGGGAAAAAAGGTAAAAATCACTGATCTTAAAGTCTCAATTGTTTTCTCCTTGGTCTCAGAAAGACTGGTTTTAGAGATGGCTGAGACGAGTGGAAGGTAACAGAGTCATGACTCACTCTGTGGAATCTCTGTTTAACAAATCACATTTAAAGGGTGATCCCAAACTGTATTTTCCTAAATATATGATGAATCCTATATATGCAACCCTGAACTTGCAAATACTATGTCTTTTACCCTAGTTTAAATAATTTTCCAGATAGGTTACAGCTAACAGACTACAACTCTGACTGTAATTTTCTTTCCCTGGATGTAAGTTTTAAAATTAAGATTTAATTTTGCAACAGTTAAATTTACAGAAAAGTATATAGTTTAAGGATATCTCATTGTCTGTTGCAACCATGGAAATGAATAACCAAGGAGAAGACATGCCAACTGTTCTGCAAAAAAAATCTATGAACAAAAATGACTACGAATTAACACTTAAGATGTCACACAAACAGCCATATATGTCATCTTAAATGGGAGTTATTTGAGTAATTCAAAAGCTGATGATTTGGAATAGCACAGTATTCCAGCTCCTTCTGGTAACTGCATTTTCCCATTGTCTCTTGTTATAAAGTAATCTCTGCTTCAAGTAATTTGCCTTCAAACTCAGGGTCTTAGTTTGAAATGTTCAGGCAGAAATAAATGTGTCAAATAATAATGTCATTCTTAATCACACAGTGAATCACTTTCTAAGAGAATTAGTTGATTATGTCATCTAACGTCTCACTGGTTACAAAGATTTACATATACAGGGAAGATACAGTTTTCCCTGTGTGCAATGAAGGAGCTGAAATTTTCTCTATATCTTATGTACCTACGCATATCTTATGTACATCTTATGTACTACACATGACAACAGAGTATCATCAGGCGAGACTGCCTATTGATTGAGCAATTGTCAATTTTCCGAGTGTTTGCGTGAGAATACAATGCGGAATTTCCCCTGCTATAATAGATAACGCTATGAGCAGACTCTTTTTTTGCAAGTAAACAGATCCATTTTTCAGTCCTGTAATCAGTATGCATCTATTTAGCTACTTAACAGCAATGTGCTCTGGTTCATTAGGCAGCTACTGTTGTGTCTCAGCCTAGTTAAAATTTCACAGCAAGTTAATCTATTTTATTACAAATGAGAACACAAGTGATAATGTCCTCACCGTTTTCCAAACACAGGGTTAACAGTATCTGTAACAAATCAATGAGGCCATTTAAATAGGAAAATTGCAAATGTAAAATCTTAACATTTTTTACACATTGATGACTTCATTTTATTTGTCATTTATGAATTTTCCAACCTTGTTGCTTTTCATATATATTTTTTTCTTCTGAAAATAGCTCAGCTCCCAGCAGCATGCTGCAGTGCAGGCTGGTTCTACAGGAGGTACACTTACAATACTAGAGATGTATTTCTAAATAAAGTTGCATGTTGTCAATTTGAATTTCTTTATTTTTCATAAATTTGCAAGATTCATAATCCAGGTTATAATGCAATGAATGCATACATATATCATTTACAGATTGTGAGAATTTTATGAAAAATCAAAACATTTCTCAAGATCTTACCTATTTATCTAACTACAGTACCTACTTTGTCTTATCTTTTCTCTCTTACAGAGCTGTAGCATAAATTCTCAAAAAAGACTTTTTTGGTATTTAATCCTTTAGAAGGGCAATATATTTCTGTCTTACTAAAGAACAGTGTCTTGCTTTGGCTCAGAAAAAGTAGTTACAAAGCCTGACATTGTTCATTTTAGTTGTGATTTAGGTAAACAGCACTGAAGTCATCGACTCATCCAACTTCCAGATACATCCTTGATTTCACCTCAGTATCCCTTTCCTATTCCCTGTGAGGTAGTATCCCACACAACTAATATGAAACAGTACATAACAGTTGCATCCACAAAAGTTTTATTAGAAATATACATACACAGCTTACCCATTTTTGACATAATCATCTTGACCTTAATTCCTTTTCTCTGATTTTTTTATAGTATTGATCTTCATTTTGTGTCAAGAGCATAGAGAAATGATGTTGCTGGATTTTCCTTTATTTGTTTTTATTCTTAGTTCTAATGTAGCTGTAATTACTCTCCCAAATGTTAATCTATTAATGAGTTCCTAGAGGATTTAATGGCATTTCACTGCTGACAAGTAGGTTTTGAAAGTTTGTCTGAGTCCAGAATATTTTATTCAGACATTTATCTTGATATTTCATATTTAATTGAGGTGCTCCTTTTGTACCCTACAGGGCTCTACAGCCCTGGCAAGAATGCTTGGAATTGAACAGACCTTGCTAATGAAACTGTGAGGAAGGAAAAAACAGGGATTCTGGGTTTTTTTTTTTTAGGTCCAGACCAGAGTTTTCAACTACTATGAAAAAAAATTAGAGCTGATGACATCATTGCTAGAAATATATGCAGTTCATAGACTCTAGCAGAATAAATTTTCTGACACTAATTTGCTCACTACTTCCCCGCTGGAACCTGTATCTTGCCTCCCAGTGCTTGCCAAATCACCATTCGAATTCCCATAATGGACTACATCACTAAGCTGAACACCTAAGACCCTTAAAAAATCTGGAAACCACACAGTGTTTCTTTTCTCAGGAGGGGTCTACGCCGTGCAGCCAGGAGCACAGTGAGCTTGCAAACTTGCTGCAGAACTCCTTGCCTCCTCTGCAAAACCGCCACAACTTTGTGGCAGTGAAGAGCTACCACTGCTTCTGCCTGCCTGGCTGAATTCCACCCTCGGTGACTGTAAGAGAAGAATTAGAAACGTTAATGCTATTTT